AATGCGGGAGTAAAAATTTACATCGGTAACCTTCCGGAACGAGCAAGACCGGAAGATATCAAAGATTGCTTTTTGAAGTTTGGCACCGTAGTTAACATGGAACTCAAAGGAAACTACGGATTCATTGTAAGCGTTTCTCTATGGTGATGAGCACTTGTTAACTGTTGACAAAGTGGAGCCGCAGTGGCCCGCGAGTGTCGCATGCGTCCAAAGGATTTCCAAATTAATCATTGTTAAAAAAAAAAAAAAAAAAAAAGAAAAAAAAAAGTGCTTTATTTGTATACCGTTCGTCGTCTATGTTAAGAAATCCTTTGGGCGCATTAGATAGCATTATACAGAGGAATTCTGAACGATCGTTGTAAATAGTATTGGTACTGACATAACTGCAACATAAAATCAATGAAAAGGAATATGAAGAACGTCGCATGTGCGATGAAGCAATTAGTCATCTTCATGGATCCGACTTTCAGGGGTCTCAGCTTCGTGTTGAGTTTGCTCACGCCGAAAAGAACGGAAACTTTAATAAATTCAGAGAAGCAAAATCCAGTGATACATGTTTTAAATGCGGTCAAGTCGGTCATTGGGCACGAGAATGTACTAGGTAAGCAACCGTCATGGTCATTGGGCTGACAGCTTTACTCATGGAATCAGAGCAGGGTATTGGCAACTATAATCATTTTAAGGCATGTCACACTGTGCTATTAAATCAAAATGGGTCATTCATCAGCTTTTGAGATTGCTGCTCCACGAGTCAACATTAGCACCTTGAGAAATGCTTATGTCTTAAACAATTGATGTCATTTAGCGCCCCTCGCGAGCTTGTTTCTCGTAAACCAGGTGGTCGATACGATGATCGTCGAATAGACAGCTATGTTAGGGAACCATACAATGCTAGAGAAAACCGAGAAAAATACGATAGAGATGAAAGGTATCCAATTCCACCACCTATTGAACGTGGAGGATATGATCGACCATACGATCGTTATGGTAGAGAACCTCCAGAGATGGAATATCGAAGAGAATATCGCTCCTATGACAGACCTTATGAGAGAGAGAGAGATAGACCTTACGAACGAGGCTATCCTGATCGTGATTACGAGCGTTATAATAGAGACAATTACGATCGTAATTATTATCCTCCTCCACGAGATGGTTACGAGCGAGATGGCTATGAACGGCGACAATTGCCACCACCTGATGTACCATATCCTCCTAGAGGCCGAACAGGATCTCCACTACCACGCCGTGGAAGTTATGATAGGGGATTAAGGTAACTATCGATAATTAAAATTTTGATAATTATCTAATTATCACTTTTTTATTATATTTATAATAGAGATGCACCAATACAACCTGTTTATCGTGGTCGTTCTCCACCACCACATTCCCGTTATGCTGATCCAATGATGGGACCACACCCGATTAGACCACCATCTCCTCGCACTGGAATGTTCAGGTATATATATACATATTTATTATATTTATTAAGTGAAATAATGCCATTAAACATGACTTTTAATACACATTCATATATTATATTAAGGCGTCGTTCTATGAGTCCTAGAGGTGGTAGAGTTCAACCTATACCCTATTCAGGGAGACAACAGCGAACACCTAGTCCTGGAGCTAAACCATTACCTCCAAGGCGAGGACCAAGAACACCAAATTAGGCCAAATTAGGCGTTGAAATCATTAAGATCTAGCATTTTTCAATTTATTATTTTTTTTTAAACTTATATTATCTATTTCTCTTTTTTTTTTATTATTTTTTTTTTTTTTGGTTTTATATTTTTATTGAACATCATTGCAAACTATTTTATTGAATCATAATCCGAATAAAAAATCCAGTCTTTTTTAAAAAAATCTATATGTATAAATTAAATTGCCTTCCATCAAACAATGAAATGTATTCATGAAAAAAGTAATTAGGAAACGACATATCAGCGAATTTGCGGAATTGACCTAAATTAAGGTCCATATATTTTAACAATGCGATTGTAAAGCTGACCCAAAATTTCAGTTATTATCGTTATACATTCTGCAATTGTTAAATCCAGGGACCCTAATTTAGATCCATTCCGCAAATCGCCGATATGATTATTTAGAATGAAGATATATATAAAAAAATCGTATGTTTGTTCATTGATAGTTGCCACATTCTTTTATTATATCATTTATCACGTAATTACATAATATATATAAATAGTATAATACAAGGATTCGGCAATTACCAATGAACATGTATGTAGAGGCTGGACTCGTCTCAATTCGTGACTTACGAACTAATCTCAGAAGTAGAGATTGTACCCGTCAAGAAAATCTACCCAGGTACAATCTCTATTCAGAAGAGTACTCGAATCATGTGATTGATGTCAATTTATTCGAATTTTACAATCTATAAAAGCAGATTTGGATACCAGATTCTAACAACTGCGGACTCGTGAATATTCGCGAATCTCACAAATCATGATTCAAATCGTGATAATTAATAGTTATCAGGCAACCACTGCTGATAAGTTGTTTATTTGGTCAAAAATTTAAAAAATTGAATTCCTTCGGAATTCAACCTTTTAAATTTTTGACCGAATTGGTCGACCAATCAGTAATAGTCAAAACTTACGTAATATTAAAAACTCATTTGTACTACGTAAAAACTGTTGGGAACCTATCAAATGCAAATCACATGAGGCACTGACTTAAACCCGCGAAGGCACCTATGCCGATCGGGGTATTTAGGAAGTTTATCGTTATAAATAAAAACACACACAGATCGCGATCAGAAATTATTGTTTTGATACTGCAGATGACACGTTTTTATCCAACCATTAATAGTTCAATAATAAATTAGATCAGGGATTGAAGAGGTATAAATATCCCTTCGTTTCTCTTGAGTAAAAAAAATCGTAAAAACTTGAATTATACAAATATCTCTTTAAAATTTTTAAAATAAAAAAGAAAAAAAACCATTTCAACGTAAGCGACCATGAATCCATTATACCCTATGCAACAATATACTGTTCATTCAAAGTCCAGGAAACCTTTCAAAGATGCAACGCACAAAAAGTCTTCAAAGAAATCTCTTAGAGATTCGAGTCAGAATAAAGAAAACAGCATGGGTTTGAATGTTTCTAAACTCTTTAACGTTTCTTCTCCTCTAAAAAAAGAAGAGGATTTAATTATTGATAAAGAAACAAAAATTAACAACGCTGAAAACGTTGAAGACGAACCTTTGTTGAAGTCAAACCCACGAAGATTTGTTTTGTTTCCTATCCAATATCATGATGTAAGTTCTTTTTATAAATACAAATAATCATTTAAATAACAATTGGTAATATCTTTTTTTTATTGTTTATAATTGAATATTTAATAGATCTGGCAAATGTATAAGAAGGCAGAAGCATCGTTTTGGACTGTTGAAGAAGTCGATCTTTCAAAAGACATGAACGATTGGGAATATAGACTTAATGATGATGAAAAATACTTTATCTCTCATGTTTTGGCTTTCTTCGCCGCTTCCGACGGTATTGTTAATGAGAATCTAGTAGAACGTTTTAGCAACGAAGTTCAAATTCCGGAAGCAAGATGTTTTTATGGATTTCAAATCATGATCGAAAATATCCACTCAGAAATGTATTCCCTTTTGATTGACTCTTACGTCAAGGATCCAGCACAGAGAGATTATCTATTTGATGCTATCGAAACCAGTAAATAGTTAATAATTATTTATAACAAAAAATTTAAAAATGTACATTATAGCTAAAACAATTATTCGTTCTTATAATTAGTACCTTGTATCCGAAAGAAAGCAGATTGGGCTCTCAAGTGGATTTCAGATCATAGATCATCATTTGCAGAACGTCTAATTGCATTTGCTGCCGTGGAAGGAATCTTCTTTTCGGGAGCTTTCGCGTCAATTTTCTGGCTTAAGAAACGCGGAATGATGCCGGGGCTAACTTTCTCCAATGAACTAATTTCACGTGACGAAGGACTTCATTGTGATTTTGCTTGCCTACTTTTCACCCATTTACGTAACCGACCATCAAAGCAAACTGTTGAAGCAATTATTACTGAAGCTGTAAAGATCGAACAAGAATTTCTAACCGAAGCCTTACCAGTAAATCTAATTGGAATGAACGCGACATTAATGAAGTTATATATTGAATTCGTAGCTGACCGCTTGTTAGTAGCACTTGGTTTTAGTAAAATATATGAAGTTGAAAATCCATTCGACTTCATGGATCTTATTTCATTGCAGGGTAAAACTAATTTCTTTGAAAAGCGTGTATCAGATTATCAAAAAGCAGGTGTTATGAGTAAATCATCACAGAACGACCCTTCCGATAATATGTTTACCCTAGACGCTGAGTTCTAAAATATAAAATCAAAATATTGTCATATCTAAATTTTAATAAATGATTTAACATATTTTAAAGTTTTATTAATTCATATTTAATTTTTGAACTTTTTTAACTCCATTTGTTTGAACTGAAACTACCTAAAAAATTATTTTAACTGGGCTAACGGCTAATAACATTCTGCCTAAACTACTAGACAAATCCTATGCGATTAAATAAATTTAGTTCTTAATTACAATCCGCTTATCTATACGTCGTAATTATTAGGTAATGTGTGAGAATAATTAAAGATAGTATTGATAAATAAAACAATAGATAATATGGGAAACTACCATTCGAGAGGCTTTGAGTAAACTTTAATTAGAATCAAATTCTCTTGCTAATACAATATATAAAGAGATTTAGATAAAAAAATTTAAATTTAATTAAGATTAGGCCATACGAATTTAATTATTATATTTCATGAAACTTTTAACCAGCCGTACATAATTCACATATAAAATTTATAAAGCTTTTCATAGTGCTGGGTCGAATTACGTTGATCATGGGCCGGGACAATTTTAATATAAATATCGCGAAATCGGATTCAAATGAAATTTAAGATTTCTATTAACTTCTAAAACCTACTTGTTTACTATAGATTCTACCTTTAGAGCTGACTCCTAACTCTAAAAAAAATGCTAAAAAATGCACACCAAAATCTTAATTTTTGGTGGCTTGTAAATTTTTACTATCGGCTATACAAGATTTCATTTTAATCTGATTTCAATCCGCCACAATACTTACGTAAAATGGTCTATTCTCTTATGACAAACTTTAAACAGACAAAATTCTCAGTTCATTATAAATTACAAATTACTTTATAAGCCCCCTCCGAATATAGTCAGAAAACATCCAGATTCTATAACATAATATATATATATATGAATAATTTTTAATTAGTAAATTTTGTAATAACAAATTATAATGATAAATTTGTTTAAACTAAAATTTTAAATTTATTTATAGAAAAAATAGAGTTTTATTAACAGTAATCAAATTATTAACGTTAAAGTTTCGATATTAAGATTAAAAACTTTGGTTTTACGTAGTAGAGCTTATCGTACGTATCAGGTATAATTCAGGTGACGATACGTGATTATAAATTTTAATTGGCTAATTTTCATTGATTGATTAACATAAGTGGATAAATTTGACCCAAATAATGAATAAAACTTTAAGCATAATGCCCGTAATGCTTCATACCAGAACGATATCAAACGGTCTTCTTTCACGTTCTTTACATAATCTTTTTACTTTAAATTGTTCACACCTTATTAATTTTTATAATGTTCTTTCGGGGCAAAAAAGATTTTCGGGACACAATAAATGGAGTAAAGTAAAACATGTTAAAGGAGCCAAAGACGTTGAACGCGGTAACTTATTTGCAAAACTTACCAAAGAAATTCAACTTTCTATAAAAAGTTTGTATTTATAGTATCCATCTATTTTTATTATCATTATTATTAGTATGTATTGTTACTATCATTTACTATTATCCGCCTTTTTTGCTCAATTTTTTTCAAGTCGGTGGGAGCACAGATCCTAGTATGAATCTTCGTCTGGCCGCGGCATTAGCGCAAGCAAAAAAGGCGTGCTTACCTAAAGATAATGTGGAAAATGCATTCAAAAGGGTATTTTTTTTTTCAGATTTCATTCAATGTGATTCAATGTGATTTAATGTGATTCAATGTGGTTTAATATTGGTATAATAATATGTTAAAATTTATTATGTGATATTTAAAGGCGCTTGGCCAAGGAAAAGATGAAAATTGTGTTGAAAGCGTAACTTATGAAGGTTATGGACCAGGTGGAATCGCATTTATAATGTAAAGGTTTGTTTTTTTTAAGAATGTTTGACTGATATCAATTTTTATTATCTTTAAAAGCTAATATAAACATATTCGTAAAGAGATACGTTAACAGATAATAAAAATAGAACCGTAAAAGAAATAAAAAATCTTTTTACTAAAAGCGGGTATGAATAATGTTTATAATAAATTCAATGAAATGAGTCATGTTCAAATCAATTTTCTAATTTATATGTACGCTCTCTTTATATTACTAATAAGAGGGTCAATGTCAAACGTATCTTGGATGTTTGAAAAGAAAGGTACGCATGGGATTGATAAGAATTAATGGAAGTGATTATAATATGTTTTAAAACCTCTTTATTTGACACGATAACTGCGTGAAGGTACAATCCAGTTTAATTCAGGTAGCACACAGGATACCCTTGACAGAATGATAGACAATGCAATCGAAATATATGGTGTTGAAGATATACAAGAATTGGAAGATAATGTATTAGAGGTATACGTATTTACAAATACTGAAATATATACGCATGATTTTCGACTTTTTTTTTTTTTATTAATAAATATATATAATTCATTTCATGAAATTTTAGATTAGGTGCCCTAATTCATCTGTTAATATAATTTCTCAAGAATTGCTAACAAAGTATAATTATGAAGTTACTAGTATGAGTAATGGATACATACCTTCAACTACTGTCAAAGTTGATAATGATGACAAAGAATTATTAGATAAACTTAGCAAGTTTATCAAGTCGCTTAGTGATCACGAGGATGTTGTTGGGTTTCATAATAACGCCGAATAAATAGGAATGATATAATTAGAATAAGTAGCATAATCTTTCAGGGATTTTCATTCTAAGGATGAGTTTGATAGCGTTATCGGATTATCATTTTGACCAAACTGAACTCTTTAAGTAACTCATTCTACGTACGTACGTACAATATTTAGAAAGAATAAGAATAAAAAACATGTCAAGGTGGCAGACTAATTCTTTATCAATGCATATGAATTTGTAATCACTTACATACGTAACGTACGTAACATACGTACGATGTATGTACAGTACCTTTGATATGCAAAATCCTGCGTTACCAATTTTTTTTTTTTTTTTTTTGCTATTCCTTTGTTTTATTATATGTAACCATGATAATGTATCAGATATACATACGTTTTTCCTATCATATTTTTCCGCCGATCATTCAATGACAAATGGTAAATTTCGAAAATCCCACGCACAACATAAATATTTAGATTACATAAAATTAAAATATATGTTTTATATTAAACAATTGATTTTTAATAATTTTAATATTACACAATTATAATTAGTCAATTGTTCGCATTTAACAGTAAGAGAATCACGAGAAAAAAGAAAACTAAATGCTACACGACCGAACCTAAAAAACACTTCTACACGCGAATACGCATATATCCGTACGTACATATGTAAGTACATTCATACATACGTACATACATACGTACGTACATACATACATACGTACATACATACATACATACGTACCTACGTTTCGTGCAGATATTCGTTTTACATTTCTATAAAGTGTTTATATTCGTGTATCTTGCAAATCATTACAAATGCACATACAGATGAAACAAAAAAAAATACGTGAAATATTAATAAAAGAAAAATTTATGCAGTATTAGAGTAAAATTCACATCAAGAAAAAATCTACTCG